TATATATATATATATATATATATATATATTCTATTAATTTTAGTTCAATAAATATCAATGATATCAATGTATGGCAAACATGTTTAAGTAAATTGTAGAGTACATTATCATGATGTAAACTTTATTAATTATTATGATTTTTATATTTTGCTAATATAAGAAAAAATGCAATAAACTGCATCTCTCACGTCTGTGAAGTGAATGTTTGTTGCATAGGTTTTCAGCATATGGCATTTCAAATCAGTCAGCTGTTTTAGATGGCAGGTGGTTAAGTAGGCAGTAGGCAGGAGGCAGCGAGGCGGCTCACTAGGTTTGGGAGCAGAGCTTATATATAATCACTAACACAAACAAATCAAGATGATAGTTTCCGTGCATGTGCCAAAAGGTAAATGTCAAAAATCAAGCTTAAATGAAATAAGTAAATGATCAAAAGTGTGTAACATGACACAAATGGGATTAAAAATAAATCAAAATGGTGTGCGAATGGGCTCAGGATGCGAACTGTGGCTAGAATTAAACATACAATACCCCACACTTAGAGTTCTCCAGGTGTGGATTTCTCTAGCGGACGAAGCCCAGAGGAGAAGAAATAAAACACAGGATTTGAGTCTAGAGGTTAAGTAATACACACTCACTCACACAAACATCACCTTTTCATCCTTCACAGCATATAATTCAGCATTTGTTTTCTGCGTGTGTTTGTGTGTTGCGCTGCATGCAACTCATAGAGCTGAAATGGAGAAGCTTGAGTGAGCGAGTGAGAGCTGAGATGGAGATGTTACGTTGTCCCATGCCTCACATTTCAATGCTTCAGCGTAGCATGTTATGCGTCACATTAGAAACTTAAAAAAAGAAATGCACTATGAGAAGTATATGGTAGGACGTATGTAAGCTTTACCAACACATCTACAGGTAGGTCCATTTGATCCCAAAAAATTATGATTATTATATATTTGTAGTTTTTTACTAAAGATGTGCACTAAATGTCATTCACTGCAACAATAGTTTATGTAGTGTCAAGCAAAAATCAATGGATAACATATTCAAACAATCTACTACTACTAATATACTACTAAATAGTCATTTTAATATTATAAATGATTATAAATGGAACATACAGCTAAAAAAGCAATAAATATTATACATTTGTAGCCTGATTTACTTAAGATACCCACTAAATGTCATTCACTGCAACTATAGTTTATTTATAGTGTAAAGTCTTATCAGGCATGGTACAAAAATCATGTAGTCACCTTAGAATTATAAGCTTCTATCTATCTATTTTTTGTCAAAATTTAGTTATTTTTACATTCTTATTAAATGACAACTTATTTACATTATAGGATGTTTTTAGAAGTTGTTTACATTAAGACTTTTTATTTAAAAAAAAAACAAAAAACAAATGTTACACACATACTGTTTGCTATGGAATGCAAACACTTTGAAGCTCAATATCTCAAAATCATTCAGAATGCAGACAGAAGCTTATAATTCCAAGATAAAATAATCTACAACTCATATACTAAATAGCCATTTTAATTCTTCAAACCCCTAGGTTTAACCCATTTTAATTTTTTTTTATCTTTCATAATATTATAAATGTAATACAATCACAAATTTTGTAGATTTCATTCTAAATGGATAGACAGCTTAAAAAAAAAAAAAGCAATAACTATTATACATTTGTAGCCTGATTTACTGAAGATGCCCACTAAATATCATTCATTGCAACAATAGTTTATGTAGTGTCAAGTTATGGAGTCAACCTAGGGCCACATGTACTTGCAAAATGAAAGTTTTGCAAACAAAACATAAATTAAGCCAAAAAAAAAAAAAAAAGTAGTTAACGCAAATATTCAAAAATCGCAAAGCAAAAATTATTTTTGCTAACAAAAACAAAGAACTGCAAATTGAAAATTAGGTTTTGAGAAATAAAAATAAAATTTGCAAACAAAAAAAAAGAGCTGCAAATAAAATCAAGCAGAGAAAAAATAGAATAAAATAAAATAAAATATTTGCATATATAAAAAACATATATATATATATATATATATATATATACATATATATATATATATATATA